TGTGATATGGTTCATGGGGTCACGAAGACTCGGACATGACTTAACGACCGAACAACAATAACAACTTTGAGACAATATTGGTATGAGAAGGAAATAAGTAATAATTCATCAATTTTGACCATAAAAACAAACCCCATTACGTTTTCTGATATAAAGTAACAGCTGTTACAGAGTTAGAGACAGATGCTTTAGATTTTTCACATTTATTAGAATGGAATGGCATTAACACTGTTCAAGGACACAGACTCTTTAGGGAGTTAGAAAACTTAAGAAGTTACAAAGTATGCTGACTTCCTTGGATGATTAATAATTTACACTGTCTATATGTCCTGTATATAAGTTATTCAGCAACTAGTAGCTCCAGTCATTATGCTGTTATTAACAAGAGAGGAAAAATTTTAAGGCTTAGAAGGATAGGAATATGGCTTACTAGATGTCTGCTGTTAATTATGAAACAAGTTTGTAAATTCCCTAAAGTACTGTTTAATGCTGATAGGATAAAACAAAAACAAAAACTCCTCAAGGTTCTACAATATAGCCAGAAGGATGCCCAACATTTTAGGATGAGGTGTCCAATTTTCTTCCTAAAATATAACCATTCAGAAATGTAACTACAGCCACAACATTACTACTAGTAGTCTTTGAATCCTGATTTGAGAATGTCTCACTGGGGACAAGCCATGAGAAGGCTCTTTTCTAAACCACAGGGCAAGACAAAGATTAGATTCACATACCTTCTGGACATGATATGGTATCTTTGAAAACCTGGATGTTCTCCAGGCCTTGTTGAGCCCTTGTCAGTTTTTTTGGGGGGCGGAGGGTAATGCATTTATTTTCTCTGGCTGGGCATGATTTTTCCTTTTATTTTATTGTTCACTGTTTTTAAAAATTATATTTCACATATTACCTGCCTCCTGATTGTCAGAGTAACTGAAAAAGGTCACACAGGATACCCACTGTGAAAAATGCCCTCCCCAAGGAAGAGGGAGGTAGAAGTCATGTAAAACCCTATACCTGGGGGCATGACATAATGTATCCTCTGCATCTCTTTGTTCCCAGAGTTTAAGAGAAGGTGGACTGTATATACTATTGGAAGTGTACACCACCCAGGACCACCTGGAGGTAGGTGGCCTCTAAATTTTGTAACATAAAAATAGAATTAAAATATTAATTTTATACATTTAACAAGAGATTATATTTATTTATTAATCCTATTTGGCCACCCATCTATCCAAGAAACTCTAATGATAAATTAAACCAAAATTAGGGTTTTGTGGCATCTCAACCTCTGCACATCTCTTGAATACTGATGGTGATATTCCACTGCTTTCCATACCTGTTTCCTCTTCTCCAACCTCTCTTGTTTTTCTTTTTTTTGTTCTACATCCCGCTCCTTGTTTTTCAACAGGATCATGGGCTTATCATCAGAAACCTTTTTATTAAGCACTTTGGCCATGGCTTCAGCCCATCCAGCGTTTCCTGCACCTCTGGATTCTGCTGCATCTTTAACTCTGGTATTTGGAGTCTTAGGTTTATCATCAACTTCATCATCCTGCGCTTCATCGTCACTTGAGAAGCTATCTTCTGGAACCCCTGAGCTCCACTCAGATCCTAAAAGAAACGGCATATCCTTGTCACTTGCATCATATCCATAAGCAAGAAAAATTTTATCTACATTTGTGTAAATTGATTGAATTCAAATATCTGTCATTTGCTTTAGCTAATAGCCCACAATAACAAGGGGAGCTAGTATCATTTCAAGGAAATGATGGGAACGTGTATTTTGCACAACAAAGATGATTTCTGGCAGGACCAAGATGGGGGTAGCGCAGTCCTCCTAGCTCTGCTTGATCTCTCAGTGGCTTTTGATACCATTAATCATTATATCTTTCTGAACTGTCCAATGGTTAGGAGCGGAGGGCACTGTCTTGCAATAGTACTCCTCCTCCTTGAAAATATGGTTTCAGTTGTTCAGGGTGGAGAGATTGAGCCCTAGGTCCCACAACTGTAGAGTGCCACAGGACTCAGTGCTCTTCCCACTCCTATTTACCACCTACATGAAACTGCTGAGCGAGATCATTCATCAGCATGAGGTAAGGTTTCATCAGTACATTGATAATATCCAACTTTACATCTTGACCTCTGGCTGAATAAGTGATGCTGCTGAAGTGCTCGAAGGTGATCTGGATTGGAAAGAATAGGCTGAAAATGAACTCAAACAAGATAGAGCAGCTTTGGGTTCAAAGGCTTACTAATGCCTGTGAAATTCCATTGTTAACTTTGAACTCCCTCGAACGGAGATGGTTTGCAATCTGGGGGGGGAGGGGTCAACTCAAAGTTCCTGCTCAAGGAGCAGTTGGTAGCTGCAGTCAAGAGGACTTTTGCACAGCATGGTCTTGCACATAAATTGTGAGCCTTTCTGGAACAGGAGGTGTGATTCACTGTCACTATGGCTCAGTCATCTCTCAATTGGACTACTACAACATGCTCTACGTGAGGCTGCCCTTGAAGAGTATTCGAAAGTCACAGCTGGGTCAGAATGCAGCAGTTTAAAGAGTTATGGGTACACCTTGAAGCACATGTAACTCCTTTAATTTGAGAGCTGCGCTGGTTCCCAGGTGGCTTCTGGGTGCAGTTCAAGGTGCTGCTTGTCACCTTGAATGCCTTTCATGATTCAGGACCTGTGAGACCACCTTCCTCCAGTAACATCTGCCTACCTAATAAGATTTAGTAGATCAGGCTGTCTACATGTCACCCTGATTGTCATCTTCAGGGGCACAGAAGTATGCCTTTTCAGTTCCCACTCCCTTGACTTTGAAACAGCTCTCTTTCTCCTGGGTTTTAGAAAATTGTTTCACCAAACCAGGGGGCTTAGTTGTTATGATTATCTCTCCAGATGATGAATTAGTTGCTACTTTTTGAATACAACTCCCAGTTGTATGTAATTATAATGTGTGGTTTGATTTTAATTTGATCTGAACTTATATGTTCTTAATACCAGGTACTACACTGTATTCAAAGTTAGCTGACTGTAGTGGCCTATAAGCCCTGTAAATAAGAATAAATAGTGGCCTATAAGCCCTGTAAATAAGAATAAATAAAATAAAAATAAAACATAGTTCTCCTCTGAACGAGTCATGAAGGAAAACAAATTAAGGCCAATAATTCACTGAAATAATTATTAACTGAGGGCATCACAGGGACATTTCAGCAAGATTTGGTTTACCTAAAAAATTAAAACTGCAACACTGACATCTAGTGCTATATTTCAAAAAACAAGATGGGCTGAAATGAGGATATAGCACAGTCAGTATATACTTTCTATATACGCAGTTGATTTGATAAAAGGCAGCCTCCGTTATAATTGTCAGTGCTTTCTCTACACAGAAAATATAATTACGACCATATTACAGCTACTATACAACTTTATTTTAATCACCTTAACCATGATAATTTAATCTGTTCTAGTTCTCATAAAATGTTCAGTCCACTGACAACAATAATGGAAGGACAAGTTAAATCAAATGAATGCACTAGCCCTATTACAGAAGTTCTTTATTTAAGTCTGCTCTCTGCCTTATCTAAGGGATTTTTCTAAAATAATTTGCTAAATCATTACATGTGAATATTTTATTTACAGGTGCACATATGTGGTGCTTTAGTTACAAACATTTTTAGCCTAAACTGGGTGTTCCCCAAACACTGTTGCCTGGTTTGGAGCAAGTTAAGTGTTTGAATGTGATATGATGTACATCTTCAGTCTTCCCTGACCTCACATCCTCTATTTGTATTGCACCACAACTCCCATAAATCTAAAGAAATGGGCTCATTAAATATGTTGACTGATGATTAGGGGAGTGAAGGAAGACACACAATTGCAAGAAAGCAAGTCAAGGATGACTGGTCTTAAATGTATATAACTAGCCTGGTTGTAGAGAAATATTGATATGAACATGTTATGGAGCACCTTTTAAATTATATATAGAGAAATGGAAAATACAAAAGTCAAGAAATTATCAGAAATATGATTTAGTAAAACAGTTCATAAAGAACATGTCCAAATATTAAACTGATGAAGCAGCACGTCATTCAGAACACTTTCATAAAAGACAAAGAGTTTATCCAATTTTAGTATGGTTAGCCATTTGAACATCTCTTCCTTTTTCTTGTTACCATTGTGAGAGATGGATAAAATACGTTATTACTGACAAAGAAATAGTAGCTTGAGCATGCTAAAAGTGCAGCTGTGTGAGAGATAAGGAAGTA